AAAGTCGGGACTTTTGACTCCTAGAGTTCATATTAACGATAGCGAATAGTTGTAAAGGCGAATATCTCCCCCCCCCCTCTCACGTGGGTGTTATTTCTTGTCATTTTATTCGTTATTATTTTTTCTCTCTCTTTCTCTCTTAAAAGTTCGAAGCTTTGTAGCTGACAATTACGCTGTGTTCGAAAATGGAATGTTATTTCGAAACGATGGGGGAAGAGTCGCGATACGGATACGGGTAATTACAATGCGATTTTTCTAATTCGAAGTGCTTATGGTGTTGCCAAAAAGATACACTTAATACTTATTTTTTTTAAAAGAAAAGATTATCGCGAAAACTAATAAGGCAATAAATACTGAGTTACGAAAAAAATTAATAATGGGAATCTAAGCATTTTATTTGTTTTTTAAATGAGTTTTGTATTTATTTCCCCTCATGCTTTTTACATTGGTATTTGAAAAGCCTGATACCACAAATTATTTTTCCCCCTTTGATACACATAAGATTCAGTGAATTATGCAATAAAAATGAACTTCGTTATTTTAGGGAGAAATTTTTTTTTAAAAAAAGTTAACGAATCATTTAAAATTTCGTTAATAATGTTAAAACCTTCAAATTGTTTCAAAATTTTTATTTGTAATAGTTTAATTAAAGCTTCAAAATCTAACCTGTATCTTGAAAGTAAAACTTTTTTCAAGACAAAAGAAAATTCACACACACACAGAATAAAAAAAAAGGATTTAAAGTTTAAAATAATGAAATATATATATAACAGTCCTATAAAATAGTTCTGGTTTAATATGAGGTAAAGTATAAAATTTACTTATCAGTAACCTATTTCATATAACTTCATAAACATTTAAAAAAAGTTTCATCTTAATTGTAACCATGGAGATATTAGAAACTCTCTCTTAATTTAATCTCAGTTTGAGACTATTAATAACTTCAGAATCTTCAAAATTTTGCTTTAAAAACGGAGAAACTCTTCACATCTGTTTATCCTAATGTCTATTTGCTTTTTTCGTGATTGCTTCACAAGGCAAGAGGCTCAAATCAAACATCATAAGGAAACCCAAAAGGTTAGTTAAAAAAACCCGATTGAAAACCTTTCCAAAATGCATCGATGACACTGTTTCTAATCTTACATCACTCATTCTCAGGTTAAAACTGTTCCAAAAATTAAATTGATTAGTTATTTCTGAAAAAAAAAATTACTACTATAACAGATGAAATTGGTAGAAGCTGTAATAAATTTGATTTAATTGATTTGATTTCGCATTAACGTCGTACTTCAAAGCTGCATAACGGCGAACCTCGTAATTTTGAAAATCAGTCAAATGACGAGGACGATACATGAGCTGCCCCTCCAAACAAGATATCAACGTGACGACTTCCAGCCTAGACAGATTTAACGTGCAACAATTCCTTTCACAGCGGGTTTTCAGTTGAAAAGGACTGAAGCGAGTAAGAGTTTATTAACGACACATTGCAAAGTAACTCGAGGGACATGGTGACTACCTGAAAAGGACATACTCCTATTTAATGACGATAACACTTATTAGTATAGAATCCTAACGAGTATTTTTTTCGGCAGGACAATTTGTAACAAAAATAAGAAGCCGTTTGAACGATGAAAAGCTGGACGAGCTGTGTTTTTGAAAAGCCTATTTCCAGAAACAGGAGAAATGAAGAAATGTTTTTTTAATTTCATTATGTACTATTCTTATTGGTTATTATGATGAATTAAGTTTATTTTTCATTCGTTTCAATAAAATTAATATTAAAACAATTTTTAATAACATTTTCAGTTTCATTATGCAATTTCAACTATGCCAATGTGTAAGTATTTTTAATAAATAGTCCAATCCTAATCCAGGGACCAATCCCGGGATTTGGATAATGCAATGCTAAAATCTCGGGATTATAAATATAACACGGGATTACAAACCCTAGCCCCAATTCTGTCTATAAACTTGTTTGCGATTACCTTGTTTACAAACAGCTAAATATTTATTTTCTTATTTATATATATACTAACATTACTACAGAAGTGAATCTCCATAATTGATAAAATATAAATAAATCCCTTCAAAGAGAAAAATCCTATTAAGAAACCAATAGGAAACGGTTGATTTTCAATCGTTTATTTGTAAAACCAGTTCGGAGAACGATTTATTTAAAAGTCAACCCAAAGACAAATTTCAGCACATGAAAACGAATTTCTTTCCAAAAGTAGTGACTTGATTACTCAACTGTAGAAAGATGTGTTACAAGAAGGTACAATTAATTTTATGGGCCCATCCCCTAAGGCTAGAGATGGGGAAGGACGCAAAATAATCTCGTTCTTTGGAATGGGCAGACGATTAATTTTCGGTAGATCCGTTTTACGGAAAAACAAAGATACCGTAACCGTCACAGTTTTTCCTCCTTCAGTTTTAAGCCATGATAATCATTTTTAAGCAGCTCTTAAAAGAGTTTTTTTTTTCTTTTAGTGTTATATGTATTTTTTCTTTTTTTATACTCGAATAAACCAGTCGATTATTTCATGCTTATATGAACTTCCGTGTAGATGTTACGACGCTTCTAAACACGCAAGCTTCACCATGAAGTAACATAAAAAATGCAATTGTTGGTGTTGGTGTCATATGATTTGTTGTTTTTAAGCTCTTAAAGATTTCTTGTTCGAATCTGTTTTTTTTTTTTTTAATTCTTTGGGATCTCTTCCTATTTGTACTTCTTTGTTTTGAATGTTGACACGGGATTATTAAAAAGAGAACGGATATTATCTTTAAAAAAAATATTTTTCTTCAATACATATATGTAAAGTTTTCTCTTAAGGTATTTACTTGGGGAATCTATTAATTTGCTACAGTCGTTGAAGGTTTGAGGAGATTTCTTTGAATTTTAATTACTCTTTGATGTCACTCTTTAAGTGTTTGATATATTTGTACATTATATTTAATTCTCCCAAAAGATATGTAAACGATTTATAGAAAAAAAATTAATTTACTTTGATATAAAATTATTTTTTGTCTATGCGAATATGTATGAACATTAAAAACACACTAGACATGTATTAAAGAATACATATAAAAAATAACGATTAATTTACTACGATATGAATGATACGAAAAATTGTGTGGATATTAAAAAAAAAACTAATCCATGTGTTAAAATTATTTCCGTTACGAAGCAGAGATGTTTCAAACCTTGACATCTTTTAACAGTTATTGTAGTAATTTGTGTTTTCCCAGTAATCTATACATATAAAGGAGAAAAGCGACTCAATCACTCATCATGATATCTCCAGAACAATTAAAACCTATCTTGAAATTAGGTACGCATGTTTCTTTTGTTCAGCAGAGATCCAGTAAAAATAGGTTTTTCGGAAATCCATTTTGCGGGAAGGGGTTACGGGAGCGTAAAAGATAATTCTACTTCAATTTTAGAAATTCAAGTCCTGTTCTTTTAAATCAGGAAGTGGGGGGTTAGAATGTTTTTCAATGCAATCGAACACTTAATTATATGACTTAGAAATCAATAACTTAAAAGTATATATTTACAGCCACACAACATCATAAAATACCAAAAGAAGCGGGCAGGTAACGACTAGTAATTATTATATTATTCTATTCATTTACGAACTATGACAAAAAGATCCCATTTTTTATTTGTTTCGAATACAAATTTGATTAATTAAAAATTTTGGAACAAGTTTCCTAGAATTTCAATTTTAATTTTTGTTCGACATGCAATCTAAATTTAAAAAAAAATTACAACCTAACTTTTTTCTGAGAAAATTCAAATTGAAAAAAAAAGATACAGTTGAAATTTTTAAAAAAATAATGGCATCAGTTATTAAATAATTATTTTCTTTTTTTTTAGGTGAAAATCTTTTTCGGTTCGCTAAACCATTTTTCAAATGAATAAAAAAAAAATTGAAAAAATTAGATGATTATAGTCTTTAAGCAACACTTCCTCGAAAAGTGTTCTATACTTAGCAAAGATGCCAATACAAAAAATTTTTTAAAAAATTCTTAAATAGCAGACGATTTTGATTATAACTTTTTATTTAATAAGTAGCATTACGATTCTTCCTTAAACAATCTTCGTCCATATACGTCGTTAACTTATGGGAACTATACTAAACAAAAAAGAAGACATCCAAATGGAAAAAAATTCCGAAACTGACTGGGGAAGTAAAAAATAAAAAACCTCGCAGTCACGAAGTGAAGTCACGAATTCCCATCAAAAGAGAGAGAAAGAGACCAAGCCCTTGCGTCCCCGAAAGTAGCACTCGCGGCCCGAGTGATGGAAGACCACCAAATTCGTGGTTGCTCAAGCCCCTAAAAGTCACAAAAGAAGTAAAAAACCTGGAGGTGATATGGGCTAGAATACCAAAAGAAATAATATCCTTATGTGCCTTACACGATTTACGGTTGTAAATGCCTGACAAAAAACGGAAGATGCTTTTTTGGAAATTATTTTCACCTCTTTCCCCCTTTTGGTTAATTTCGTTCTTTCTTTTTTTTTTTTACTCACAAAAGGAAGCATTTGATATCAATTTTTAATGACGCATTATACATTGATAAAAACTATAAACAACAAAAAATAATTTTTGTTCGTTTATATAGGGTACCGTTTATATATAATACCGTAAAGCAATGTAAGTTTCCTTTAAAAATTACTATGCAGGAGTTATTTTACAAATATGGGGGTTTTTTTGAGGTTATACAATAAATACACTATTTTCTATTTTTCACAATTCCTACAATTAGTTCACACTCTCCCCATATACATCGTGTTCAAATTTTCAATCGTTAATAAAATACTTTCTATTCATCCATTCAAGTTCAAATACATTTTTTTAAAACTTGTAGCGGGTGGTACTTAATACAGTTTTTCACAAATATTAATTCATTCATTAAATTAAAAAATGAATGAATAGTAACAAACAAAAGTGGTAGTCCAACAGAATATATATAAAAAAATCGTTCGTTGCATCCCTGTAGCGCATAGGATAGCGCGTTGGACTTCAAAGTCCAGTGGGTTCGAATCCCACAAGGGATGGCCTAATTTCTTAGAATGTGCGATTTCTTTTCTGCTCTACTATTTTATTAGAATAATTAAATTTAATGATTGAATAAATAGTAACAAACAAAAACAATAATTCAACACCCTTTACAGAAAGGAAAAAGGAAAATCACTTTCTATTTTGCCACTTAATATTATGATTCTGTCATATGTATATACATATTTACATTATATATAATTATTTAATGAAAAAGGCCTAGTGGTCAAGTGGTAGCTTATCGCGCTTCCACGCCACAGGTCCAGGTTCTATTCCCAGGCTGGGTAAGATCGACTCGGCCTTTCATCCCGACTGCAGTGGGTCAATAAATGAGTACCAAGCTTGCTTCAGACTGACCACCTGATTAGGATATCTGCTCATGCACCTCAGCACCCAATGGTCACGTATACGGGGATGGGCACAGTAGGCCCTGGCCCTGCCACTGCTGTTCCGCCACTGAATTAAAGTTTATTTAATAAAAAGTAAGGAATTGACTTAAAATTATTTTTTATATTACTTGTTTGTGGTAAAAAGTCAAAGTAGATTTTGTTAAAGATAAATGGGCATTTTAGTACTTTTAACATTTGTTGCGATGAGAGACACCTACTAAATAGTTACAAGCAGTAGCGTACACAGGAATTTTTCAATTGGGGGGTTGATTGATTGATTGAATATTAACGTCGCACTGTTCAGCTACACGAGGGCTTTTTTGGGGGGCAGGCAGGGTTGAAAGTACACCATTCTTGTATCATGCTACTTTTGATTGTGTCGATTTTCAGGAACAAAAAACAGTCAAAAATTAATAATTGAACAAATAATTAGCATTAATTAATAAAATTAATCATTGATAACAAATAATTAAATTTTACGTACTATATACTTAGAATTATAATGAATCGGGAAAAAATCGAAGGCTTGGGGGGGGTCGGACCCCTAGGGGGTCCTCTTGTGTGCGAGGTTACAAGAAAAAACACGCATTAGGTTCATTTAACAACTTCTTAAGCACTGAATTTTAAAAAACCTATTGCTGAAATTACGAAGCACGAGAAAGTGGAAGACGGAAAAAACACTTAGATCGGACAGTGCTGGGGCTATGAAATATTGCAATGTGTATTGCACTATTCACTTTATACTTATCAATAGTAGTAATTTATATTGCACGCGAAAATAATTTTGTTTTGAGTCTAAAATCAAATAACGAAAATTAAGTCTTTTTCCATTTTTTTTCGAAAACTCAGCCCCTTCGTGGCAATATTAAATTTAGAAATAATTTTTTTAAAATTTTTATCCTTTCTCCATACCTTAGAACATTTTTTTTCCCGTATTGTTTGGTTCTGATTATTAATATTTTTTCTCCGTGATCCACTTTAATACGCAGTTACATATGCTGTTCTCAATATGGCAGGGAAATCAAAATAATTTTAAAATCGTAACATTATCTTTAACTGAAAAAGTGTTAAAATCATATTCTAGAACATTATATGAAGACATCTTTAAACATCTTTCTCAAAACCAGAATCTGTTACCTAAATAAATACAGACTAATAATAATAGATGGTATTTTACATTGCTTGCACGGAATAAAATCAAACAAAATCCACTGAAAAGTCATTTGAGACAAACTTAATTAGAAATTCTGGAGAAATACTTCCTTCCTTTTCATTAAAAATTAATTGAAGAACCTCTGCTTTACTCTTCCGGGGTAATTGTCGTTAAGATATGTTTCGGAAAATAGAATTTTCTATTCTTATCAATTTTAGAAATAATCTCATTTTTCTATTCCATTTTGAGTAATAAATTAGAAGTAACATCGGTTAGAAAATAAAAATGAAAATGTAATCTAAGAAATTTCAAGATCTTTACATAGGTTTGTTATTACATCATAAATACTACATTTGCATAATAGTAAGAAAAAAAAAACCGCTATGATAAATTACATTGTCACTGAAAGCAATGATTTAGAAATTGGTGGAAATATAAGATAAAAAAGTTCTACACACAAGTCAAAGGTAAACGTTTCAGATTTAAATTTTAAACAGTACTTTCCAAATACTGTTTTGTAACAAAATACGAAAGTTAAAATATTTTATGTCCAGTTCAGGTAAAAAAATTTCGAATTTCTTGAAATTATTTTAATGAGTGTTTTTTTTCCAGGTATAGAAGTTTAAGTTGGCATTACTTTCCAAGATGGCGACCTATTTAACAGCTGTCAAGTGATTTATTCTCAGTTTGGTTTGGCAATTCATCATGAATAGACTCACGCCTGAAAAACACTTTCAAATTGTGTAATTTTATTTCGAAAATAATGGTCGATTTTCATAAGGGAATTTTGTTTAGCGATGAAGCGCACTTCTGGTTGAATGGCTACGTCAACAAACAAAACTGCCGCATTTGGAGTGAAGCTAATCCACAAGTGTATGTCGAAACACCGTTACATCCAAAAAAAACTGACTGTTTGGTGCGCTTTATGGGCTGGTGGAATCCTTCTTCAAAAACGATGAAGGCCACAACGTTACAGTCAATGGTGATTGGTATAGAGCCATGATTACTAAATTTTTCATTCCTGAATCGAACAATCATGATGTCCAGGAGCTGTGGTTCCAACAAGACGGCGCAACATGTCACACAGCTCGTGCCACAATCGATTTATCGAAAGACACGTTTGGTGACCGCCTAATTTCACGTTTTGGACCTGTGAATTGGCCTCCAAGATCTTGTGATTTAACACCGCTAGACTATTTTCTGTGGGGCTATGTAAAGTCATTGGTCTATGCGGATAAGCCACAAACTCTTGACCATTTGGAAGACAACATTCACCGTGTTATTGCCGATATACGGCCACAAATGTTGGAAAAAGTCATCGAAAATTGGACGTCCAGATTGGACTACATCCGAGCCAGCCGTGGCAGTCCTATGCCAGAAATCATATTTAAAATGTAATGCCACAAGATTATCTTTCGAATAAAAAAAATTCATGTCAATCGAATAATTCTTCGTTGTTTTATTGCAATTTAAAGTTCTATACCTCTCAAAAAAACACCCTTTACAAATACACAATAAAAAATAAGCGAATAGAAAAAAATGGAACGGAAAGAATTTGTTTAAAAAATTCAATTCCACAAGTTTTTTTCGAGGGTAAGTGAATGTTTATTAACGTCACAGTATAAAACAACACGAGAGCTATTGGCAACGGACATCGTAACCTTGAACCAAGGTCAGAAGACGAAGACGACTAAGGCTAGAACTCATGACACTCGCTCGTGGCTGTGACCACTAGGCTACTCTGACCCAGCATTGGTTCACTTGCATTTCAAATAAAATTACTCCAAACATTTTTTATAACTGATTGTGCTTTCATTTACGTCTTTAAAGAAACACAAGATTAGTTGCAACGAATCCTTTCATTTCGAGCTACGATCAAACGACAATAGCGCTTGAGAGCTGATACCGTCCTCTCAAAACTTCCATACCAACAAGAGGACTTTGAGCCTCAACCAATTTAGCGTGCAATAGCTTCTCTACACGGCGGTTCTTCAATGGCATCATAACTCAACAACAACAAAAAAAAAAACGTTAACCGCGATGTCTTGGCTACCACGGACTCGGAGTGTAAATAAAGTATTTTTAAAAAATCTTCGTTGTATTGTTGAATTAAATTACTATTATCTTTAATTATCTTAACATATTACTACGCTTGAGTTAAATTACTATAGGAAGAAAAATAGGAAGAAAAAAATAACTAAAAAGTTCTTAAATTGAAAAAGTGATTAAAAAAAAAAAAGGACTTTAAATTCAAATAAGCTGATAATAATTCTAAAAAAAATTATCAGTTCTCTTCCAAAGAATTGAGGATTCAGCATTGTTAATTGCTGAATCTTCAATGAATCAAAATATACCCTCATATAGTTTTTAATGTACACTATTTGCAAGTCGGAAGTTAAAATTTATTTTACAATGTAAGAAGTTCCAAGTTTCATTATGTAATTTTTTTAAAAAATCAAAATCTTATAATAGTACTAAAATAATAATAATAAACGCGAGCTCTCTTTTATAGTACTGAAGCGAGGTATCAGCGATGCCTCAGTTGAAAGATGTCAAGTCGTCAAAATCCAGCCTCTGGTATAGATATTACTTCCTAGTTATCCGAAAATACAAATCGGGTCAGTTATACGCATATATACTAATCAATCATTCCACAATTTACAGATCGCAACCTAAAGGGTGTTTGTTGGATTCTATGGCGAGGGCGTTTTAGCGCATCTTCAGAATGAGCGCAGAATGTAATCACCTTTCTGCGAGTTGACAACCCTAATCGGGGATGGGAACTGTAGCTTGTTTGTTTTCAGCGGTTGATCGGCGTGAGAACGGTGAATCGAGGCCAAATGTCCAGTAAGAAACCGCCGTTTTCCCACAGGGGAAGTAAAAAAAGGCTTAATGCTCTTATTTGTTTAAATCACGCCCGATAAGACGGTTTGAAGATATGCCTCAATTTAACCTTCGTGGTAAATAGGAGGAAAAACTTGATAAAGTATTTTTTTTATTATATATCTTTCGTGAGAAATTGACCCCAAACAACTTATAAAACTTATAAATCAATTAAATTTTTTGTATCGTATTGTGTTTTTTTATAATATTTCTGTGTGAGTGCTTCAAAGTCGGCAATTAATTTTTCAGTTTCACACGTGATCGTGGAGTCAGCCTATTTTACGATGGAGAGCGTCAGTGTTTGCTTCTTTATCTGCATAAATTAACAGGGTTGGAAAAACCGGGAAGCAGAAACATTTACACATATATACAAACTAAACTCCGTGGCGCTACAGCTCATGAGAGCCAAGTCCTACTTTGCCTATTTCAGTATTCGTGACCTTAGGCACTGAGATGCATGCGCAGATGTCCCGATTTCGTGGTCATCCTAAAGCGAAACCCCCAGTATTTAGTCCCCAAGCAAGCTTGGTATTCATTTATCAATCTACTGAAGGGATGAAAAGCAGAGTTGACC